CAGCTCCATCAGGACCACACACGACCAGTCACTTCTGGCTATTTCCACGAACATCTTCTGGCTCATCTGCACAATGTCAGGACTGGATTTGCCAACTGGCAAGGGAAGGTGATGCCTGGAGCCTGGGCACTGCGTGGGCTTTCATGTGAACAGATGCAAGACAGAAAGATGCCTTTCATCTGCCAGAAAATAATTAGAAATGCCTTTGTCTGGACATTGTGTTTCCATCTTAACGGGCCTTTTTGCAGCCTGAATACACCTCAGTGACTGTGGAAAGCACAGGAAAATAGCAGCTCTAATTAAGTATGGGCCAGGCAATGAGAGGAGAGCAGCAGCAGGAGGAGCTGAACCTCATCCACCCCTGCCGTGCTGCCCTGGCACAGGGAGAGCAGCTCATCACCCAAACCACAGCTCCCCACAGCTCCTGCTGAGCGGGGAAAGAGCTGCCAGCACAGGGTACAAGCCCCTGCTTAAAATTAAGTGCCTTGCCAGGACCAGTATGAGGAGTCTAGAACTTGACACTGGAGCAATTAAGCTCCGAGAACACTTTGTAAAGCTCTGACCCCACGAGGCATCAAATCCTGTTTCCTTCGACTTTCTGTCCTGCCTGATGAGCAGCTCATTTCAAGGGGCCCATTGCAAAAAGCACCTCCCAGTGGCACCAGGATCAATGCTCCCTCCCTGCGGCTCCAGCAGCACCACCCACTCCCTGAGCCCCACAAAAAGCAGCTGGAGATGCCAACACCACCATTCCCAGGCCTTAAGGAGCAGGGCAGGAGGTGCAGGTCCCTGCAGCACCCACCCTGCCCCTTCTCCCAAGGGGAAAGGCTCAGCATTCCCTCCTCACCTGCCCCTGGGGCTGCAGGAGGAGTTTCTGCTCCCTGCACCTCAGCCCAGGCTCCACCAAGCTCTGAAGGTGCTGCTTGTAGTTTTCCAACATCTACTTCTAAGCTGCCTCATTAACAACCCAGCTCAGGTTTTTCAAGCACTTCCCACTCCTCCCCTACCAAGCAACACACACACACCAACCCCCCTGGGTTCTCACTTCCCTGGAAATCTGTTCATGGCCACCAAAGCAGCACCAAGGGATTTTCAGCAAGAACCAAGTGGTTTTTAGTCAGATTTGGGTTCTTTCCTCCCTCCCTGCTTCAAGGCAGGGCTCAGAATGCTGCTGGCTCCCTCCACTGCACCTACATCCTGGATGGAAAGCTGTTCCTGACTCCCTGTTCCAGCTGGAGGCTTTGCTGCCCTCCCAGGGAGCTGCACATGCCAGCAGTGCCTTGCACCAGCCCCTGGGTAAGCCCAGGTTTCACTCCTTGCCTGTCTAGATGCATCAGAAGCAGCTCACAAATTCACTGGGAAATCCAAAAGAGACCCAACACCTGCCCTTAGTTTGGCTACAAGAATAAAATCAGTCTCTGGCAGGACACAGCAGAAGAAGTCAGAGGTCTCTAAGGTCCACAGCAGGCAAAGGATCTGCCAGATAAACTAGCTCTGGAAAACCAGGGCTGAGCTCCATGGCACATCTCAGCCCTCACAGGAGCACTCAGCTGGTGCAGAGATGAGCTGTGGAGCAATCCTGTAAACCCCAGAGCTCCATGCCTTCACCCCAGCTTCACCCCAGTCCCCAAAAGAGGGGAAGAACCATTTAGCCCCCCTGCTCTTCACTGCTCCACATCTGCTGCTCTCCCCAGGGCTGCTCCCCAGCACAGGGAGGTGCCCAGGACACACGGTCATACTCCCAGCCCTTCTTTTCATGCCCAGATCTTCCATCACCAGCTTTTTGGACCAGGGTCTAACTTTTCCTCCTCGTTTGCCAGATCCCCAGCATTTCTGACCCAGTCCTGACCACCACCCCCAGGCACTGCTGCAGTGCAATCAATATTGGTGCTAATAACCAAGAGCTCTCAGATAAGGGCTGGCTGCAGAGGAGGCCCACAGACCTTCCAGTAATCCCTTGCCAGGGATCAATACGTGTAGAAAAATCACCTCAGAAATTTGGAGAGACAAAAAACAAACCAGGAGAGAGGTTATTCAATGCTGAATAATGTATGGGCACTGGTCTTTTCTCCCTGAAGGCCGTGCTAGGGGGGAGCAGCCACAGCTCCAAGCCAAGGAAGGAGCAGGGGGTGCCAAAGAAAAATAAACCAGTGGACTCAACACTGGACTTGGTATCCAAAGGGACAGGGAGGACCCAGCTACAGCCCCAGCCCCATCAACATGAAGGTGGACCCACGATGTGGGTGTCCAGCACTTAAGATGTCATCAAAGCCAGGCACAGGACACACACCCACATGCTCAGGGAGGTGGAGATGGTTTCTGTCACTGGGACAGAGAGAAGTGCAAGATGTGCAGCCCCAGCCTAGCAGCTACAAAGGGGAAGAGTCAAAGCTGCCATTCCCAGGCATCCCAGGAGAAACATCCCAAACCACCATTGCCAACAGATGCCAAAGCTCCTGCCCTTCTGAGGAAGATGAACCACCACAGGCAGCAACCCTGCTCCCTCCAGAGCCACACGCACAGGGAGACAGATGCTGCAAACCACCCAGGAAGCCTCAGCCACCTCCTTCCCCTTGTTAAATGACCACTGTGAGGCTCTGCATTAAAAATCACAAACAAGGAGCACACACACAACCCCACCACAGCCCTCCCAGCCATTAGCTTCTTTCATCCTTGAGTACCCAGGTATTATTTAGCCCATCACTCCAGCTCAGCACCACCACACACGCCCGCCTCTTGGAGAAGCTGCTGCCTTTTACATTAGGACCAGGATTATTTTTTTTGAGTTAATTACTCAGGAGCTAATTCTGTTCATTAATTCTGAATGCCTCAGGGGCTGGGCTGGGATTTTGTTGTTGTTGTTGGGGTTTTTTTTCCAGGATTGTTGGGTTTTTTTCACTCTCATCTCAGCACGGCTCATCACACAGCCCTTGCTGTCTTAGCATCACCCAAAACCTGCCCAGTCCTGGAAGCAGCTTCAGGCTTTTTTCTTGATTTCTAAACCACCCTAATTTGCATTTTCCCTGGCACTTGCCCCTCCAAGTCCTGTTGGAGGTGAGGAAAGCTTGTGAGGTTACAGGCAGCAGCCCAGTAAGATGAGAACTGAGGCAGCAGTGAGGAACACAGCACGTGTGTGTCTTCTCCCTATTATTTTCCCCTCTAATCTTCATCCCTCCTGGAGGCAGTGCCAGGGTGGCCTGGTGTAGCTGTTTGCACATTCTCACCCCATTTTTCTCCATGTCCCACAACAGAAAAATCCTGTCCTTCTGCGGGAAGTGCCCAAGGAGGGGGGAATTCCTCCTGGAAGGTCTTGAAGCCACCACCAGCACCTCCTGAGGAGGGACCCCTGGGTGGCTGCCACCCCCTGGCAAGGGACACAGGTTGATTTTTGGCAGCTGCCCCAGCTGCCAGCCTCAGGGTGGAAGGAAGGGCTGGAAGGAAGGAGCTTGCTGCTCAAACAGCACCAACAAAGCCACGGGGGTTGAGTGCAGGTGTGCAGGGTGGGAAGCAGCAGCGACCTGCAGGACACCTGCATCCTGTAGCCACATGGTCACCAGCCCCACAAAGAGTGTCCCTGGGGAATATGGGGGTAAAAAGGAGCCTTTCCCACACCCAGCTCTAGGCAGGGGTCAGGGGCCATGGGTGGTGACTAATGCTGCTCAGCTCCAGCAGCAGGAGCACAGGGCAGAGCCCTGCCCCAGGCATCTCCACATCAGCCCCGCACAAAGCCCAGCTGCAAAGAATAAGTTTGCACCAGTTCTCCTCACCTTCCTGGGATGCAGGAGGGGTGGGACCAGTCCCAGCTGTGATGCTGTGGCTCTGCACCCACCCAACCCCTGCACCAGCACTGCCTGAGGGCAAAAAGCCATCAAGAGCCTCTGCAGACCTCAGGACTTCATGCAAAACCTCGATGCAACCCACCCACACAGCGGGGCAGACCCTCTTCTGGGGGGTACCAAGCACCCCTAGCACCCCAGCACCTACCTCTGCAGCTCCTTCAGGGAGACAGTGACCCTCAGGCTGTGTCCCAGGAGGAAGAGAGCAGCCAGGATATCAGCCCACTGCACCATCTCCCCCAGCGGGCCCCCCTTCAGCACCAGCCCAGTAAGATGAGAACTGAGGCAGCAGTGAGGAACACAGCACATGTGTGTCTTCTCCCTATTATTTTCCCCTCTAATCTTCATCCCTCCTGGAGGCAGAGTGCCAGGGTGGCCTGGTGTAGCTGTTTGCACATTCTCACCCCTTTTTTCTCCATGTCCCACAACAGAAAAATCCTGTCCTTCTGTGGGAAGTGCCCAAGCAGGGGGGAATTCCTCCTGGAAGATCTTGAAGCCACCACCAGCACCTCCTGAGGAGGGACCCCTGGGTGGCTGCCACCCCCTGGCAAGGGACACAGGTTGATTTTTGGCAGCTGCCCCAGCTGCCAGCCTCAGGGTGGAAGGAAGGGCTGGAAGGAAGGAGCTTGCTGCTCAAACAGCACCAACAAAGCCACGGGGGTTGAGTGCAGGTGTGCAGGGTGGGAAGCAGCAGCGACCTGCAGGACACCTGCATCCTGTAGCCACATGGTCACCAGCCCCACAAAGAGTGTCCCTGGGGAATATGGGGGTAAAAAGGAGCCTTTCCCACACCCAGCTCTAGGCAGGGGTCAGGGGCCATGGGTGGTGACTAATGCTGCTCAGCTCCAGCAGCAGGAGCACAGGGCAGAGCCCTGCCCCAGGCATCTCCACATCAGCCCCGCACAAAGCCCAGCTGCAAAGAATAAGTTTGCACCAGTTCTCCTCACCTTCCTGGGATGCAGGAGGGGTGGGACCAGTCCCAGCTGTGATGCTGTGGCTCTGCACCCACCCAACCCCTGCACCAGCACTGCCTGAGGGCAAAAAGCCATCAAGAGCCTCTGCAGACCTCAGGACTTCATGCAAAACCTCGATGCAACCCACCCACACAGCGGGGCAGACCCTCTTCTGGGGGGTACCAAGCACCCCTAGCACCCCACCACCTACCTCTGCAGCTCCTTCAGGGAGACAGTGACCCTCAGGCTGTGTCCCAGGAGGAAGAGAGCAGCCAGGATATCAGCCCACTGCACCATCTCCCCCAGTGGGCCCCCCTTCAGCACCCGCGGGCTGAAAACATCCCCGGACTCCTCAGTCAGGAAGCCAATGTGGATCAGGATCTGGAGAGACAAGGGGAGGAGGGGTCAGCAC